TTTTAATCACTATACGATTCTGAGCTTAGCAAGAAAAAAAAAAAAAAAAAAATTTCCAGATATGATGATTTGATGTCATATGATTTTTCTAGTCGATTAGTTTTATAGAGCTTACCAATCCGTAGACGAGTTTTCTCGTCTACAACGAACTCTATGTAAATTGTAGAAAGAGGTTTAATAAAATAAAATGAAATACTTGTAGTTTACGCATACTACTAAATATTGACCAACTTTCAACATTTTAGGTCTAAGATAATTGTGTTATTATAAATTTTAACATAAGAACAGAAATATATTTCGATGATAATCAAAGTAGAGGCAAAAGTTGACTAATGAGTAATGACTTTATTGAACCAATGTATAAAGTAAGTAAACATTCTTATTCAGGTTATACACTCAATAATCTCTTGGAAGTAATCTTACATTAGCATTTATCTTCAATATATGATTACCGGTCTCCTCTTTAAAAGCAACCAAACTTAAAAAAGCTTTAAACAAAAAATAGCTGCCACAACTAACCATTATAGTTAAAAGAAAGTAGTAATTTCGAAAATAAAGTTTAGTTTCTTATTTGACATAGTATTAAACTTTTTACATTGATTCTGAAGTGTACCCAATTTTCTTAAAGCTCATCGCAGAAAAAAACAAGAACAAAACGATGCATAGTTTCTAAAATGTGCTAATATTCAGAAACTGAGACATGATTCATTGTCTGAAACTTTGTTTCAAATTACTGAAAATAATCATTCACTGAACCAAAATAAATAAAAAATAAATAACGAATTTCTGAATTTGGAAATTTGTTTTTGGTTTTAAAATTAAACAAAACAAAAACAAAATTTGAAGGCAATAAATGAGTTAGTTGGTAGGCAGAAGTCACTCTTTCCCACTAGCTATTATTAGAAGAAACGTCCCCACAACTCCAAGGCGTTTCAGTTCCTTTAATTTACCGAATTACCCTTCTCATATCTATAAAATCACCTCTCTTATATCAATGCCCCATTTACACATTCTGTCGTTTCTTTCTAGACTAAGTGAACTACATGTCGGTTTCTTGATTCGCGTGTCATTTGGATTATCGCTAACCCCTTCAAACAATACGTCGCCGTTTAATTCGTATTACAAAATTACAAGTGATGAATTATCTTGTATAAGGTATAGATAGGAACCTAATGGAATTAAATCAACTAGACTTATATTATTTCGATACAGAATTTATAATTTTTATAAAAACTTAATTAGTTATTGTTTCCCCCTACGTGAGTTTAATTAACAATGATAGAGCTACATTGAGTGTATCAGTTCTAAAACTTTTGAATTAATTTTTATAATTAACAACAAGCGGGGAATCACAGACAGTGGTACATAATAAACTTAATAAATGATTTAATATCATATGATCAGCATAATTAACGGAATAATTTAAGTATTTCGTCATCCATACTAAGCTATATATTAAAGAGAAATCAAACTTAGAAAACGATTAGTAGGAGTGCAAATTATATCTGAAAATTCACGAGGAAGACGACAAACGCAAGAAAAAACAGCTATTAAACTTAATAGATATTGGATCAATGACTGCATAATATAGATCACATTAAAAGTGGACATAAATTTGCATATGTAATGTACCTCTCCACAATTAAACGCGGACAATTTCTTTTACTATTACAAGTCAAATAATTTTATATTTTTGATCTATACAAGTTCTTTCGAACAGAAAATCATATACATATACTTAGGCCATTTTCAACTGTCAAAACTCGAATCCGATAACCAAATTTCACCATTTTTCCAAACAATGATGAGTGTCGACCAAATGGGGTACTACTGTCTAATCAGGAACTTGTGAGCAAATTTTCAACCTTTTCCAAATAAGACGAGTGTCAACCAACTTTTTCCAAGCAAGAGATATTGGGTTGCTACACAAATACTTAATAGGCATTGCATATTTATGCATATGCAATGCAGGGTCGTGCGTCAGAAAGAAACACCGGACCCTCAACTTATTAAATATTTTGGGAGCTATTTGACTAGAAAATAATAATTTTAATGTGTTTGGTTTGGAATAAATGTGTGTGTTTATGAAAAAATATCATGCTTTTGCGCAATGATTATTTCAAGTATCTACCGTGTTTACATTGATTAGTAGGGTTTCGTTTTTTCTTGTGCATATATGTTTATGTATAGAAATATACCACGTATCACGTACTATATATGAATATGAACATTTGTAAAAGTGAATCTTGTCATTTTCTTGTTGAAAACATATATAGTATGTGCAAACAAAGCATAGGTTAATCCAATACCACACACATAACACGTCAGGTAAATCCAATAAACCGTATGTGCATGTCAGCATGTGTATGCATGTATGTTAATTAGTATGTTACATGAATGTCTGAATCAGTCAGTGTACGTATATGTATATGTGATGTAACTCTTAATGTATGAGCTGTTTCTTGGACCATGGTCCACAATGGATATTGCTCCCCAACTACATTAGTCAATCGACTGGCCAATTTTTAATTAAGATAATTAATCCAAACTACCATTAAATATAACTTTGACCTTTTTTATTATTCATTTTTAGATATTATTGGAACTTACGTAGTTCCATCTCACCCCTTTCTTTTGTTCCTTGAAAGTGGGTCCAATCACAAAAATTATCTTATATCTTGTTTTTTTGGTTAAAAAAACTCATAATTATATAGGTTGCAAAAAAAAAAACATCATTATATACTAAATATTTCTTTTTTCTTCTCGTTAGAGTAAATTTCCAGCCAACATGACAAATTCAATTTGACATCAGCCAAAAGATCCTCTCTTTTTTTGGTTAAAAAGTACTTGGATTAGCTTTTAATTACTAGTATTTAATATTTTATCTACTGATTAAATACGAATTAAGCAATTTGGGATATAAGTGAGGGTGTAAAATTAGGGAAGGGTGGACCATTAATAGCGATGTGCATTAAAAATTATGATTAATAATCTTGGAAATTTGTAGATTGCTTAGTTATTTTTATGACGATCGTCGTGTCAATGTCATGGATTTTGAAACTTTTAAATTAATCTCTTAAATTAGCGCCTACCTTTGAATTGTATAGAATTCTTTTTCTTTTATGTATTGTAATGCCCCCTTTGGCTGTCCATTTTTAAAAATACCCCTTTTTATGTACAAAATGACTAAATTACCCTTCTTTTAATAAAATATATCACAAATATATAAGGAAATATAACAAAATTAGGTCTACAAAATACAAAATATTTTTTGGCGGGAAAATTGATTCCGCAATTTTTCCCGCCAAAACACTTGTAAAACCTTGTAAAAAACCTTTAAAATACCTTGTAAAATTTTCCCGTAAAATTTTTCCCGCCAAAAAATTTTTCCGCCAAAAATTTTTTTTTGCGGGAAAAGTGATTCCGCAATTTTTTTGGCGTTAAATTTTTGGCGGGAAAATTTTTCCCGCCAAAAATTTACAAGGTATTTTAAAGGTTTTTTACAAGGTATTTATAAGGTTTTACAATGTATTTTAAAAGGTTTTACAACGTATTTACAAGATATTATAAGATTTTACAAGCTATTTATAAGGTTTTTACAAGTTATAAGGTTTTACAAGTTTTTTATAAGGTTTTACAAGTTATAAATACCTTATAAAACCTAATAAGTACCTTGTAAAACCTTTTAAAATACATTGTAAAACCTTACAAAACACTTGTAAAAAACCTTTAAAATACCTTGTAAATTTTTCCCGCCAAAAATTTTCCCGCCAAAAAAAAAAATTGCGGAATCACTTTTCCCGCAAAAAAAATTTTTTGGCGGGAAAATTTTTTGGGAAAATTTTACAAGGTATTTTAAAGGTTTTTTACAAGTGTTTTGGCGGGAAAATTGCGGGATCACTTTTCCCGCCAAAAAATATTTTGTATTTTGTGGACCTAATTTTGTTTCAAATAAGGGTAAAATGGTCATTAAAAATTAAAAGAGGGCAAACTTAAAAATGGACTCTCAAAGGGGGCATTTTTGAAAAGGGGTATTGAAAAAGGGGCATTTTTAACAATTTCTCTAGAATCTTCTTCTTCCTTTTTAAATTGTATAGAATCTTACTTATTTGAGATTAAAAATATTAAATACTTTTATAATGACAGTATAATTAGGACCTAAGAATGTAGTCCTGTAATGTTCTTGCTATACTACTTAATCTCATCACCAATCAACCATCAAAATAAGCTAATTATAATACCTGCAGGTATTCGAATTATAATTAATAAGCTAACTTATAGAGGATTATATATTCAAAGAATTAGAATCTCATGATGAACATTATTGACTGATATAATGTACTATACTAATTGTGAGTATTTAAACCATACAAAGCATTTATATGTCCATATATATTGGACACACATGCAATTAATGTGCAATATGCTCAAGCTCAACCCACAAAATAAAAATACTCTTATTAGTCTGATCATATATAAACATACTAAAATGAACTATAACCATCCATAAGCATAATAACCATGAAATGGTAATATTTATATTTATTTAAACTATTCTTCGGTTGTTTTTTCTTACCCTACGAGAATCCGTGAGGTCAAAGGAAAACAGTGAATTTTTTTTTGGTTTTCATTTTTGAAAATTGATGAACTGAAAAACTCTCTCTCTAGAAAATATATAAGTAGTATGAATTTTTCTCTCACTAAAAGCATTAATGGACCTTTCGATAATCATAAATGCAATGCACCCTCTCTATGCATTTCGCAATAACTCCTTTTCCTTCTGCCACACCCTCTCCTCACCTCTTTCTCTTCTTCCCTTTCTCCTAAGTTCATCTTTCACCAAATTCTCCATTTTTTTTTCTTCTGAACAGTGATACTACCTTTCTCTGGTTAAAGAAATTCCCTGAATCCACCGGTTATGTCTTGACCGGCTATAAACTTTTTTTTTTTTTTTGGTAAAAGTTGACCGGCTATAAACTGATGCCCTAAGACACCCTTTTAGTTTTCTCAATAATTCTCGGCTTCCATCTTTTCTTCTCCACAAGTAAGAGAACCAGAGAAGAATCCGAGCTAGCTAGGGTTTCATTGTGAATCCAAAAGTAAGATCTCTCTCTCTAACCAATACATGTGTAATTTTTCTTTGTTTCTTTGAGGAATGGGATCTATATTTGCATGGGTAGGCGGATCCGTTTTATATTTTGTTCATGATCTACATTTTATCTTTATTTTATTTGTAAATTAATGAGTGTTCTTTGTTTTTTGTTTTTGTCACGATCTACAAACAAGCGTTACAAAAAAAAAAAAAAAACCTCTTTGGAGTTATTAGAAGTGTAAAAGGGTTTCAGTTTGACGAATTTTCCTTGGTAGTTTGTGTAAAAAAAGGCCATTGACTTAATGTCAACTCTTTAATTAACTCTATATATATATCTACACTTTTTTTTATTAATTAATTTTTGTCTTTTTCCCTCTTCATTTACCTTCTTTCAATTGAACTTTTACTGAATTTTTTTTATTATTATTACACTAAGACCAAGGTCAATTTCACCGAGTGAAAAAATATCTTTATTTTTAACTAAAAAAATACGTTTTTTCCTTGGCTTCGGTAACCTGTGAATTTCTTCTCTATCTCACTAGCTTTTATGTAGAAGAGAGAGAAAATATATCATTAAATTCGATCTAAAACTTCAAGAAACCAAACCAACACTTCAAAAAAAAAAACAAGAGATCTGTTCTAAAGGATAATTTTTTTCTTTCAACTCGAGTTTGGTTCAACCGAGGTATATCTATTTGGATTCACTCTAAAAGTAAGTATAGAACCAAATGAATTTTGTATTTTATGTAAGTTAATAGAAAATTAGGGTTTCCTAGACAACAATCTCGTCATCCGTTTCTTCTTTGTCTACCTCTGCGTTTTCTTCTAGATCCGATGATGTGCTCAGTCTTGTAACTTTCAAGATTGATTCTATCTTTATTGTTTAAAGATATGTGGTTCATTTTTTTTCTTAACAAATTGTGTCCTTTTAGTGTTTTACTTCAGTTTCTCTCTAATTTTCATCTATTATTGAACATTATGCTTAATTAGTCATCCGAATATTCGTGTCCCATTTTTTAAATTGTATGTCCCGATAACTTGTATTTTATATGCAACGAGGTTATGTCACGTAGTGGGTGCATTAATACTCATACCCTTTTTGATAAGATGAATACATATGCTTATATAAGCGTATAGGTATAAATAACCATCAAAAATAGAGAAAAAGACCAATATTTTGCTTTTCGGTTTCTTATGAAATGTGAAAAAGACCATATAAATATATCTATTAAAGGTAAGTATAGTTTCATAAAATCTAAAGGATTACATTCCATAAACCAAGATTATCTTCCGTTTTTGCTTTGATTCTCTTCTTATCATATATATAAACATGACCATTTGATCTTTGATTTTGGATAGTGGGATATACAGGCAGAAGAAAATCGAGATAAATCAACGAAAATGATTTGTATAATCATCTTGAAGATTTAAAGGAAAATCAAGAGCTTCAAAAACTCCAAAATTGATAGGCATCCATCATCATCATCATGTATCATCCAAACATGTTCGAGTCTCATCATCATATGTTCGATATGACACCGAAAAACTCCGAAAACGATTTGGGTATCACCGGGAGCCGAGAAGAGGATTTCGAGACTAAGTCCGGCGCAGAAGTCACCATGGAGAATCCTTTAGAAGAAGAGCTTCAAGATCCAAATCAGCGTCCCAACAAAAAGAAGCGTTACCACCGTCACACACAACGCCAGATTCAAGAGCTAGAGTCGTAAGAAAATTTTCTACTTGATTTTTTTTTTTTTTATATTGTTTTTGAGGATCACTTAGGGTTTATGTATGTTTGTTTGTTTGGTTACGGTTTTAGGTTCTTTAAGGAATGTCCTCATCCAGATGACAAGCAAAGAAAGGAGCTGAGTCGCGAGCTAAGTTTAGAACCTCTTCAAGTCAAGTTTTGGTTCCAAAACAAACGCACTCAAATGAAGGTATATACTATTTACTAAAGCCAATTTTTTATTATTGATACCATTATTTTCATTTGATTTGTATAAATTGGTCTCGAATCTTCAATAGATTTTATATCAAATTAATCAAATGATTTTGATGTGTATTTCCAACCACATTTTGATATAGATGCTATGAAGCCTTCTTTAAACACATGTAGTTAGTTAGCTAATAATATAATGTAGCTCTAACATTAAGGATGTTTTTTCTTTGGGTCAAAAGATCCATTTGTTTTGGTTTATTCTTGATGAGATCAAACATAAGAAAAGTTGTGATTTTTTATAGGCACAACATGAGAGGCACGAGAACCAGATTCTGAAGTCAGAAAATGACAAGCTCCGAGCAGAGAACAATAGGTACAAGGATGCTCTAAGCAATGCAACATGCCCAAACTGTGGCGGTCCTGCAGCTATAGGAGAAATGTCATTCGACGAACAGCATTTAAGGATCGAAAACGCTCGTCTACGCGAAGAGATCGATAGAATCTCTGCCATAGCTGCTAAATACGTAGGGAAGCCTTTATTGGCTAATTCCTCGTCTTTCCCTCAGCTCACTTCACACCACATTCCCTCGCGCTCGCTTGATCTTGAAGTTGGGAACTTTGGGAATAATAACAATAGCCAGGCGGGTTTCGTTGGGGAAATGTTTGGAAGCAGCGACATTTTGAGGTCGGTTTCTATTCCTTCTGAGGCTGATAAGCCTATGATTGTTGAGTTAGCGGTTGCAGCCATGGAAGAGCTTGTGAGAATGGCTCAAACTGGTGATCATCCCTTGTGGATTTCAAATGATAATTCGGTTGAGATTCTCAATGAAGAAGAGTATTTTAGGACGTTCCCTAGAGGAATTGGACCGAAACCTATCGGATTGAGATCAGAAGCTTCAAGAGAGTCCACTGTTGTTATCATGAATCATATCAATCTCATTGAGATTCTAATGGATGTGGTATGAATCTGTTTCCTTAACTCTGTTTTTTTTCAAACTTCATCAAAGGTTCTTACTTATAGTTGACACTTTTGATCTTCTTTCTCTGTATAGAATCAATGGTCTAGTGTGTTCTGCGGGATTGTATCGAGAGCATTGACTCTGGAGGTTCTGTCAACCGGCGTAGCAGGGAACTACAATGGGGCATTGCAAGTGGTATGAGACTTAAAAACCTATCGATTTGGTTACTTGCTTTACAAGCTAATATTCTAAATCATGAAGTGATCGATTCTCATGTGTTTGATCTTTGTTTTCTTGGTATACAAAAGATGACAGCAGAGTTCCAAGTCCCATCACCGCTGGTCCCGACGCGCGAGAACTACTTTGTGAGGTACTGTAAGCAGCATAGCGACGGTATCTGGGCGGTTGTCGATGTCTCTTTGGACAGCCTAAGACCAAGTCCGATCACTAGAAGCAGAAGAAGACCCTCTGGTTGTTTGATTCAAGAATTGCAGAATGGTTATTCCAAGGTAATCTAAGGTCTAAATTGATAATTTTTAAAGTATGAGGTAAAATTTTTGAAAAGAAGATAATTGATGAGGTGATGGTTCTTTTGTTGAAGGTGACATGGGTAGAGCATACTGAGGTGGATGATAGATCGGTTCACAACATGTATAAACCGCTGGTTAATACCGGTTTAGCTTTCGGTGCGAAACGTTGGGTGGCTACACTTGACCGCCAATGCGAGCGGCTCGCTAGTTCAATGGCCAGCAACATTCCGGCTGGTGATCTTTCCGGTAAGTATTTGGGAGCCATATTTATCAATTTGTTAATATTGGGGTTAAATTGAAAAAGAGTAATTTACTTATTGAGTCCCTTAACTTTGTGGTAATTATGAAAGTGATAACGAGTCCTGAGGGAAGGAAGAGCATGCTGAAACTAGCGGAGAGGATGGTGATGAGCTTCTGTAGCGGAGTCGGAGCGTCAACTGCACACGCCTGGACTACATTGTCTACCACAGGATCCGATGATGTCCGGGTCATGACCCGAAAGAGCATGGATGATCCAGGAAGACCTCCAGGCATAGTTCTAAGCGCCGCTACTTCTTTCTGGATCCCTGTAGCTCCAAAACGAGTTTTCGATTTCCTCAGAGATGAAAATTCAAGAAGCGAGGTAATAATCAAATCATAAAGACAAACCTTTTTTGTTAAAGATCGAAAGTTCTTTAATTTATGTTCGATTTTCGCAGTGGGATATACTTTCTAATGGAGGCTTGGTTCAAGAAATGGCACATATCGCAAATGGTCGTGATCCTGGGAACTCTGTCTCCTTGCTCCGAGTCAATGTAAGTAATGTTCTTCAATTCTAGTAGTTTGTGTATAACCCTAATGTTGCTTGTTTATAAAGTCTCAACATTTTGTTTGTTTAAAAACAGAGTGGGAACTCAGGACAGAGCAACATGTTGATCTTACAAGAAAGCTGTACAGACGCATCAGGATCGTATGTGATATACGCACCAGTCGATATACTGGCTATGAATGTTGTCCTGAGTGGTGGCGATCCGGATTATGTGGCTTTGTTACCATCCGGGTTCGCTATTTTGCCTGATGGCTCTGCTAGAGAAGGAGGAGGAAGTGCTAGTGTGGGTGCTGGTGCTGGAGTTGAAGGAGGAGAGGGGAACAATCTTGAAGTGGTTAATACTACTACTACTACTGGGAGTAGTGGTGGTTCACTACTCACAGTTGCGTTTCAGATACTTGTTGACTCTGTGCCAACTGCTAAACTCTCTTTAGGCTCAGTGGCTACAGTCAACAGTCTGATTAAATGTACCGTCGAGCGGATTAAAGCCGCTGTGGCCTGCGATGGCGCCTAATTGAAGTTTTCAGGTAAGAAATGTTCTTTATATTTTCATCTATTTTCGGATAATCACATCTTCTTGATATATTTTGGTTTGTGTTTTTGCAGAAGTAAGAGTGAAAGGGGAGGTTTAGGGAGTTTTTAATTCAACAAGTTTATGATAATGTTTGTGTTTTTTGGATTTTATAGTCTTTTGAGATTCTCCAAAAGAAGTCAAGAACGCACCTTTTTGCGTTTAATCTCATTGCGCGTTTGTTAGCGGGCGGGCCAAAAAAAGAGGCTTGAGAAAGAAAGGGTAAAGAGGTTCGGGTATTGACTTCTGCTGGAACCAAAAAAAAAAGAATCGGTTTGTTGTGCTTCAAGCTATTTAGCGTTTTCTCTGTTATTATTTATCATTCACTAGCGAACATTTTAGCGTTTTGCGTTTTGCGTCTACTGTGAAACTCTTTGTTATTAAGTCACTCTTGTGGTACTGTCATTATATTATATATCGATGAAACTGTGTTTATTAGTTTGTTTTCTTTAATCAAAACTTGAGATTCTCTTCTACTTTTTACATCTCTTTCAATATCACCAAAAAGAATGATTTTACAGAAAGAAATAATGTTGTTTGTCCTTATATTGAAGAAAACAATGGCTACAAATAATATACTACTAATCAGTGAGCTTTGTCAGGTTCCAATAATTTAAAAGATATCAATCGTTGTCGGTTCTTGCAATCTAAAGTCATATTCTTTCCAAGTGACCCATGGTACAGTAGAAAATTAACAATTGAATTAATCTCAACAACACAAAATATTGTGTTGGTCCATCAAATCTTTAATACTATTTTTCATCAGTCAGAATTTTTAAGTTTTCGAATCATTAGCAAGCTGGTTTGGTGAAATATCATTGTCAAACTAAAAGTGAACAAGCGACACATTTTCCTTTTCTGTCTATATAACTTCTAATCTTGAACACATAAAAAAATGAAAAATCTATTGTTTCTGAAATAATGGAGACCGCCAAATCATTAATGTACATTTCTCAGTTTCGACTTTGGCTCCTCTGCTTCATCATCATAACCTTGGTCTCATTGTCATCTTCATCAAGATGGTATGATGATCATATCTCATTGAGAGAGATTAACGCAGAAGAAAATTTCCATTTCCCAAAAAACTTTCTCTTTGGCACTGCTTCTTCTGCTTACCAGGTTCTTAGTTCTTCTTTCTTGTTACTTCAATCCTCAGTATACAATCATCTGTTTTAAGTATTAGTTTTGTTGTGTGATCCTATGGTATATATATTCAGTATGAAGGAGCTTACCTAACCGACGGCAAAACCCTAAGCAACTGGGACGTTTTCACAAACATCTCTGGTAAGATCTCATGAAACCATTATTCAAAAAAAAAAAAAAGATCTCATGAAACCATTTTGTGAATTGTGATTTAAGCTAAAAAATAAATTTTCAAACTTTTAGGGCTTTTGCTACCACTTCTTGTCTCACAAGTCACCATAAGAAACTGTCTATATATACCTTTCTTGATATGTCTTTGTATAGGAAAAATTGCAGATGGAAGCCATGGGAAGATTGCTGTTGATCATTACCATCGATATCCGGTAACTAACTGTAAATATATACATCAAATATCGATTTTCTATACGAATCTCATAGTAAGTGTCTAGCAAGAAACAAGTTGTGATTTTTACATTAACAGGGAGATTTGGATCTGATGGAAGATCTTGGAGTTAATAGCTATCGACTTTCTTTGTCATGGGCTCGGATTCTTCCAAGTGAGATTTTTTTTTTCATCTACCTATATATCAATTAATAAAAAATCCTTTGTTGAGTCTTTTCAAGACTTATGTTTGTGTTTCCAGAGGGAAGATTTGGAGATGTGAACATGGGTGGTATTGATCATTACAACAGAATGATCAATGATATTCTCAAGAGAGGTAATATAATTGATAGATTTTCTTGAGAACATTTTTTCAAGACCAAGAAAAAAAACACACCCCAAACTTAGTACACAATCATTCTCAGGGATCGAGCCATTTGTCACGTTGACACATTACGACATTCCTCAAGAACTCGAATTTAGATACGGAAGTTGGCTAAATCCCCAAATCCGGTACATAGATAGCACACACACAACACATATGTACAAGTAGTTTGTAGTTACATACACTCAAACTAAGATAATTGTTGGTCTCAGGGAAGATTTCGAACATTACGCAAATATTTGCTTCCGACACTTTGGGGACAGAGTTAAATTTTGGGCTACGTTCAACGAACCAAACGTTCAAGTGATCTTGGGTTACCGGACAGGAACTTACCCGCCTTCACGTTGTTCCAAGACTTTTGGAAACTGCTCTTGTGGCGATTCTTACATAGAGCCACTCCTCGCCGCTCACAACATTATCCGTTCACATGTAGCCGCCGTCAACTTATACAGGACAAAATTTCAGGTATATCAAGATTGTAACCGTACTAGGATATTTCAAAACTGTGTAACTCAAGATTTGTTTCGTTTAGGAACAACAAAGAGGAAAGATCGGTATTGTTATGAACACGATCTGGTTTGAACCGGTTAGTGATTCTTTAGCAGATAGATTAGCTGCTGAGAGAGCTCAAGCTTTCTACTTGACTTGGTAAGCTGGATTGGTTTTACAAATCATGTTCCCACCTTAACCAAATACCGGACTTCTGAATAGAAAGAGTGCGAAAATGCAGGTTCTTGGATCCGGTTGTGTTTGGAAGATATCCAAGAGAAATGCAAGAAATTCTCGGCGAAGATCTTCCTGAATTCACAAAGGATGATCTTAAAAGCTCCAAAAATGCATTGGACTTCATTGGGATTAATCAGTACACAAGCAGATACGCGAAAGATTGTCTGCATTCCATATGTGAACCGGGCAAAGGAGGTTCCAAAGCTGAAGGTTTCGTTTATGCAAAAGCTCTTAAAGACGGTTTACCTTTGGGAGAACCGGTATGTAGACCGACCAATCAAAACTAAAAGCCGCTTTCAGAAACATTTTTGAGTTGTTTGATTTAGGCAATGATGCATGCAGACTGGCGTAAATTGGTTCTCTGTTTATCCCCAAGGAATGGAGGAGATGTTGATGTATGCAACAAAGCGATACAAAAACATTCCATTGTATGTAACAGAAAACGGTAAGCACGTTGGCCCTCAGGCTGGTCTCTGCGATTTTTGCGGATAGTTTTTGATTTCATCATTTTTTGCAGGTTTTGGTGAGAACAATACCGGAGTATTGTTAAACGACTATCAGAGAGTGAAGTTCATGAGCAACTACTTAGATGCACTCAAAAGAGCAATGAGGTAATTATATTTCAACTTCAGACAAAACTCAAATATGTCTTCATTCTAAAATCCTAAAGCTACTGGTGAAAATAGGAAAGGAGCAGATGTAAGAGGATACTTCGCCTGGTCTTTACTAGACAACTTCGAGTGGATATCCGGTTATACCATAAGGTTCGGTATGTACCATGTCGATTTCAATACTCAAGAGAGAACCCCGAGACTATCAGCTTCTTGGTACAAAAACTTCATTTTCCAGCACAGAGCTCAATCCAAAGATGATTGATGCCTGAAACAAAAGGAAGACACAAATTTCTATCTTTCTTATTTGATTCTTCCATAATGTAGGACAGTAGGAGGGTAATGTAATTGTTAGCTGTTTTATAAAAATCAGTTCCAATAAACAAGACATTTTTCTTGCGTATACCAAAAAAAATTTCACCTCTCATTTACTGCGGCAAGATTAGATAAGATCCTCCACATCACGACATGTGTTTCATCTCCACCATGGAGTCCCAGCTTCATAGAAGTGCTCGCCATCATCATCGTCCCATGAGATTTGACAAGCTTGAAGACCGATTCCTACCCTCGGTTCCTTCCCATGCCTATCAATCCATTCGGCAACAGCAGTTTCCTTTTCGTTCTCCTCCATTATGTAATGTTTCTTTGCTTTCCCATAAGGGTTGATCTCAGGATTCACCATTTCTGCTATCGCTGCTGGCATGTACATAGAATCACCAACCAACGGAGCCCCACAAGCTGCAAGCTGGGCTCGGATCTGAAAATGGATGATCCCAACACATTCAGATGAGTATCATACTATCATTTTTTATTAAGGAGATATGTGTTGATGAACCTACCTGGTGAGTCTTGCCTGTTAAAAGGTTTATTTTACACTCATAAGCAAATTCTTTTGAAGTCCATCCACAGTCTTCAATATCGTGTTTCTTCTCAGTAGCTGCATCGGGCCAAGGAATTTTCTTACATTCTAAAACCTCAAGTTGACACAAGTGCCAGCCTTTAATCGAATCTGCATTTCAAGAAATATTCACATCACTAGGAAGATCCACATCATCGAATATTCAAATTATGTTTTGATGATTCTTGACATTTATATAGAGTTTTACCTTCGGATACGAGTCTTGGAGCCATATTTTTTGGGCGCATATAATGTGAGATAATTCCAATGGGAAGAGGTGCCGCAGCAAGAGCACGATATAGTTTCTTCACTTCTTTATTCTTGAAGAGAAGACAAAAGAACAAAATATATTGAAACAATTAACTAATCAGCACAGCTTGTTCTTGTTTCCAGTCAAACAACATTGTAAAGCAAACTCACTCTTATTTTCGTGTGGAAGACCGAGCAGTACTCTTTTGTTCTAGCAAAAACGACACTGTTGAGAACGAAAGCAATTTGACCATGTCACTTAAATAATGTTAATTTAACAAACTTGAAAGCATGAATTTTTTTTTACAGGACAGTACCAGCCTTCTGTACAGTTATCAATCTGATGCGTTGTTTTCAGCGGTTCTGGTAAATCCAATGCACGTGAGGCAAATGTAGCACAGCTCTCTTCGATGTTATCCGTAGTGCCCCCAACCTGATAAAATTGTGGGTCAACACATTAAATCGCTAAGTTCAGTACTTAAACCACAATCAGAAGTTTCTAAGGAATTGAAGAAAGGAAAATTCTCTGCATTACCGAAAAATGGAACACCATAAAACATTTTGATTGTAAGTTACAGTCCAATAATGTATAAAACTAGTCCAACAATATTCATAAGATGAAGTACTTTTTTTGCAAGATATCTAATGCAACTACAGTAGGTCAAGAATATTAAGAAGAAAGCCTAATGGATGTATTACATACCGTAGTCCAGCAGGTTTATCCAAAATGACATAAGAATCAGTCACAGCAACAATCCGCGACTTCCAATCAATTTCGTAGCACCTAATAAAAAACAGCATCAAGTCAATTGACAATCATCAAAGCTTCCAATTTCAAAACACATTCCTTACAATATGTGATACCTTGGAGAACGTTTAGGGTGAACGTGAACACGCAAATAAGTTCCAGCTTCAGCATACTGATTGGTATGAGTCACACGAAACGTTTTCTGAGCTTCTCTAACAGTTTTTCCTTTAATAGAAGATCTTTTCTTTAGCACAGAAGGAGAGGTTACTTCTTCAAAAAGTTTTATCTGCTCAGGAGTCGCAGTTGGTGGAGGTTTAGGACATACAAGAGCGTAATGTACAGCTCCAAATCGAATAAGATCTGCAACATATCTTCATACAATGAAACTTTTTTATATACACTTCATTCCAGCTCTAAACATACGAGTACTTAGACCACAAGAGTTAGTTACTTACAAAGGAGGAAGATCTAATTGTTTAGAGATAAACTCAGAAACAAGAACGTCGTCTTCTAACACAACCATATGCTCAATTCTTGGAGGAAGATTATGTGCAGGACATGGCATCAATCGATTGTATTCAGGGTATCTGAAAACACACACATAAAGGAATTGAATTTCATAGTAAAGTAGAGAAATTTGAACGAATTGAATCAAAAGAATCAGACTTTAAGCATACCCAGAATTGGAAGAAGAAGAGAGTGTGGTTTGATTTTGAGAATCGGTTTTAAGTAAGGACAAGCAAGTGAATCTCTTTGGAGAAGAAATGAAACGTGGAGAGTACTTGTAGTAGATTTTCGTTGGAACGAAATAAAGGTGTAGTGATACGGGTGGATGCTAAAGTGCGCAGGAGGGATACCGGCGCTGTGAGGTTCCGGTAACCGCCGGTTAACGCCGACGAAGCCATTGTTGATTGATTGATACTGTGGTAATGCCCTAAGCATCGTTATCGTTATAGCGCCAATCTGTAATGGGCCGAAACGAACTTGGTTTTTGGGCCGAGTTAGAAACTTAGTTCAGTTATTAATTTGGTTGGTTTGGTGGTTTAATCTGGATCTATTTCCGGTTTGTTATAAACCGGTTCTTTGTCTTTTTCTTAAATTATGATTACTACAAAAAATCATGCATTATATTTAGTTTTATAGTGGGATTGATCGAAATTATTATGTTCCCCGACTTTAGAGTTAAAGGAGAAACATATTAATTTAAGTGAAAATTAATCCACGGCATGATAGAAGGAAAAGTAATTGAATTTTGCCCATCATGATTTAAATGTTAAAGAAAGGTCAGATTTCTGTAAAATGGCTTTAAATAAAAAGTTGGGCGTAGCCAAAAAGAAAATCTAGGATCATACCAAAAAAAAAGAAAAAAGAAAATGTAGGTTGTTCGAATATTGTAGATTAATATAAAAAAATTTTACGTAATTTACCAACCGAATCATATTTTGTCATTTCTCTAACAACCTTGTGTCATTATAGAGAGCATCATTGCGTTGTTCCTTTTGGAACAACATCTCGACTTCTATATTCGCTTAAAATCCTCAATCTTCTATTTGTTTTGTTTTTGTTATACTATAAATATAAACATGTCTTTGTTAAAATTTCCAAAATAATACATATTTATGATTTATATATACATGTTACGTCTAAAATGTTGATGGACCGATCCTAGTAGTTTTTTTTTTTAAGAAAAATATACAAGTTAACCGTGAAATCATTTGAACATAATAATCTAAATACAGTAAAAGGAAGAAAATAGATAAAGAAATGGGATGACCAACCAACAAAAGCCATCATATGAAAAAGACAATACATTTTCTACTACTTTAGCTTCAAGCATCTCAATAACACTTCATTACCACTTGATCAAGAGAAACAAAAAGAAAACGCAGAAGCTGCTCACAAAACTCTCTATCAATGGCTGCTCCAATCGCCATAGGAACACGAGGAACTATCGGATCGCTTGTACGTAAAGAAATCGACTACTTCAAAAACTTCACTACATGTCATCCTCAGTTTGATCCACGGAGAGGTAATTCTGAAGAAAACACCGACACGTTTCAACAAAGAAGAGAACGGTCACCATCACGGCTAAGTTCTTGGTTCTCTAAAACTACTTGGAGAAAGAAGAAGCGGCAGACTCGTGGTGGTGGTGGCAAGTTTTTGCCGAGTATGTGCGCGGCGGTGGAGGTTTCCGGTGAGAATCGAGTTCCGGGTTTCAACTATAGGATCTTAAAGAGTGATCATGAGAAGGGCTTGCGTGTGTAGAAAGGAGTAATTATTTATGTGGATTACGGTAAAGACAATGAAATCTTCATAAACTTTTTTTTTTTTTATAAAAAAGTTCAAATTTAAATTATGTGTGAATGTGTTACATATTGCAATGTCAATGAGCATATATTCGAACTTTTCGAAATGAAAAAAAAAAAAAAAAAAAAGATTATGCTCAAGGAATTCCTTTTTCGTTTGGCCGTAACGCATGGTAAAGTTAATTTTGTCCGGTCCACTCCGGTCTATATTCAAACTTGGATTCGGTCATATTCCCGGTTTAAACGCATTTGCGGTCGGTATATCGTTGAATTCGTTTATTCCACATGTACATATAAATCCGACGTTGAACAAGTCAAAATCTCTAAACTGTGGGGGAAAAAGTCAATATTCAAATGCCAGTGTACTTTTTACCTCATTAATCGGCAGGTGTTCATGTCTTGGCCGGCTTGCAAACATGTATTGAGGCTTGTCTTCAAATGCATGCATGTTCTCATTGGGTGTGTTTCACTTGCAATGGTGTACTCTCTTTGATCTCTTCTTTTTCCACTCATGTGTAGTTCCAAACCAAAATTTTAGACTTGATTAACTAGGTTGAAGAACCTTATTACAAGGCTCAGAGTTTTGCTTCCACGAACTGATTTTTATATCGAAAAATTACTTATAGACTTATAGTAGTAAAATTTTGCAGCCTCAGTTAATTGTTATGCTGTTTGTTTGTATTGCGACATAATCGAATTGTAGGTTTGCTTGAACTAAGTGGTTCTCCTTATCTAGCATTAATTGCCTATATGCTTACTATTGAACCCATTGCTCTTAGTGAAATGCTTGGGCTATTGTAGATTAACTTCCTGGTTTTGGTAGCCATTTTTTAGTTCAGAAAATTCATTTGAGCTCAGTACAGCTCAACTATGAAACACAATGTTACAACTTCATTTTCATGCAAACTATATCAATGGACATAACTACCTAGCTGTACATTTTCATGCAAACTTCATTTTGTTGATGCTAAAACCAAATTAGGCTTGTACGTATATTCTTTACTCTGAAACTGGGTCTGGTTGGAGCAGTAAACATGGATTGGAAGGTGTCGTTATACAAAACTCGAATGTTAATTTATTACAAAACTTGGTAAGAGCTCACATCTTGAATTCCAAAGAAGAGACGGTGATCGATATCACATTTGTCACAAAACTCCAAATATAAATTTTTTTTTTGGTAAAAAAAACTCCAAATATAAATCACTTCTCTAATGAAATGTTTCTTAATTCTGGTTATAAATGATCTTCTTGAGTTTTGTGATTTTCAGTTGGTTAATGACTTCAACTGCAGCTTACGGAGCTCGATACAAGAAAAGAAGAACCATTGCTACTACGATTTAGAGATCATAATCTTCACACAGTCATGTGCAAGACAGAGTATCCAGAGATCAAGAAGAGAATGAAACATGTTTTTGATGGCTGTTGAGTTCAACTACAGCAATCTCTCGATCGCTGTCTCTAAACAACAAAAAGCCGTTGTTTGCGCTGTGGTGGTCTTGAAAATAATCTCTTAGCTTGGCTTGGCTGTCTTTTGGGGATGCTAAAGATTTGTCTGGTTCTGACGAAATTTGAGGTGGAAAGTGATGATGAAGCCACATGGACGGTCAAAATCGAAATCATTGAATTTTTGTTTATTACTATACTATACAAAACACGTTCTACATTTCTTTCATTAGCCTCTTTGATTCCTCTGTTTCTTTGTTTGTTTCATTTTTTGTTCCTTTTGTCGTAATTATACTCGAATAATACTCTGAACTAGTACTTCATATAACAATTAAAGGTGTGTCCGAATAAGCCCTTATACATAAACACACGTTTTCATGTCTACCAAATTCTGGATATATCAAGTATCATCATCAACACCAACACGTCTCCAACACTCAAACACGGTCAAGCCGCCTACCTAATCTACCGTTTACAAAACAATATCTTATGGCATGTGTTACACGATTTAAAATATATAAATAACTTAGAATTTTACAATTCTTAAATCATTACATCACTGAATTAACTCGTTTTAATAATGAAAATATAATTTATCCTTCATGTACATTCTTTTTTTGTCACAATGACAATGATTCTACAGTAGAATCAACTACAAGAATATATTGAGGATATATTGAGGATATTACCATATCCCGATTATATAGATTTACCTTTTTCCTATTGGTTATTGTATTAGGGTTTTACTCTCTTCCGCTTGTATATATACTCGACCTAAAGGTCCTAATAACACAAGTCAATTACATTCATCTTCTCTGTTCTCTAATTTGACATGGTATCAGAGCACGAAATTGTTTGAGCGATATCACCCTCGTGAATCTCTCAAATTTCTCTTCTGCCTCTCGGCTCTTGTTCTTCTTTGCCTCTCGGCTTCTCTATTTTTTTTTCTCTTGCTTTCTTCTCAAAAACTCGTTGATTTTGTTTAAAAACAGATCACCTCTGTTTCTTCTCTTTCTTCTTCGTTACGATGGCGCTAGCAACCACCAATCCAAAACACAAAACTATCTCGCCGTATGATCTCACAGCCAACGACAATCCGGGGGCGATTATCTCTCAACCTATGCTCAACGGACTGAATTATGATGAGTGGGCACTCAATCTAAGGATGGCTCTTAGCTCTCGCAAGAAATTTGGCTTCCTTGATGGCACCATATCAAAACCAGCAGCAGATGCTCCGGAGCTAGAAGATTGGACGGCAAATAATCATCTGTTGGTGGGTTGGATTAAGCAAACTATTGAGCCCAAAATCCGTACAACGATTTCAACCCGCGAGGTAGCTAAAGATCTTTGGGACATCAAAAAGAAACGCTTCTCTGTCAAAAGTGGTGCTCGTCTTCAACAACTACGCAATTCTCTCGCCAATTGCAAGCAAAACGGGTCCACTGTCGATGAATACTTTGGTCGCTTGACCAAACTATGGGATGGAATTACTGATTGTATGAACTCAAAACGGTGTAGCTGCGGTAAGTGCGAGTGTGATCTCAACACGGCTCGAGACAAGGAACTCGAGACTCTGCGCATCCATGACTTTCTATCCGGACTTGACGAATCAACTCATGGTGCTATTCGCTCTCAAATATGTGCGATTTCTCCTCTACCAGACCTTGATACAGTTTATCAAACGATCACACAGAATGAAACAATTCACTCCAATACGACGACTCCAGCAACTGTCATGGGATTTGCCTCTCAAATTCCTTCCTCACACTCGTCTCAGCGTACCGGCACTGCTTACACAAAAGATATCACTCCATCGACCCCGGTTTTCTCTAATCCTTCGCGGTTTGGTATGATCAATCGTGATCCAAATCGCAAGTGCACTGCTTGTGGACGAATGGGACATGAAGCAGTTTCATGTTTTAAAGTAGTCGGCTATCCGGAGTGGTGGGGAGATAGGCCTCGCAACAGAAACGTACAAAACTTCTCCTCTGGTCGTGGTCGTGGTCAAAACACACGGGCCAATGCAGCTCAAATCGTCACTGCCAATTCTGCCGCCGTGGGCTCTTCCTCTGAAATTACTGATAATGATCGCCAAGGTCTGAGCGGTATTTCTGATGATCAATGGAAGATCGTTCAGCGTCTTATCAATGCAGGAAAGGCATCAGAAACTTTAAGTGGTAAGAATAATGAAAATTTTTGGATCTTGGATACCGGAGCAACACACCATATGACGGGCCAAAGGGAATTATTAGAGGATATAAGAGACGTTGCTCCGGTCTCTGTGTTGTTACCTGCGGGTGCCGATGTAATCGCATCCCAACAAGGGACTGTTCACTTGACTCCGACTCTCTCCATTAAGAATGTTTACTTGATTAATGGCTTTCATACGAACTTGATCTCTCTTGGTCAGCTTGTTACTGATAACTTTCTGGTAGGACAAGTAACCAATAAGCTTATGATTTTGCAGGACCGTATAACGAGGACGGTGATTGGCGCGGGTGAAAGAGAGGGAGAGGGATTGTACCGGTTTCGCGGGATTCAGACAATGACAGCCTTACAAACTCGTGTTAGTGATGATTCGACTTTGTTGCATCTACGTCTTGGACATCCGTCTTCACGTGTCACCGGAATGGTCCCGGGAGTTAATCGTTTTTCTAATTATCGTAGTGATCATTTACTTAAGGATTGTGATGTTTGTTTACGAGCGAAACAAACTCGTCAGTGTTTTCCAGAAAGTTCCAATAATGCCAAAGATATTTTTGATTTAATTCATGTTGATTTATGGGGGCCTTACCGTACTACGGCATTTTGTGGATCACGATATTTTTTGACGATCGTCGATGACCATTCACGAGCTGTTTGGTTGTATCTTCTTTCCGACAAATCAATGGTGTCTAGATATCTCCGTGATTTCATTGCTATGATCGAGAGACAATTCTCTAAGAAGGTGAAAGCTATACGAAGCGACAATGGGACAGAGTTTATGTGCCTCACTCGATTTCTTCAAGAACAAGGCATCCTACATGAGACGTCTTGCGTTTACACTCCGCAACAAAACGGACGAGCTGAACGTAAGCATCGTCATATCTTAAATGTGGCACGAGCATTAATGTTTCAGGCGCAACTACCGATTGAATATTGGGGAGAATGTATTCTTAATGCCGGCTATCTCATCAACCGTACACCATCGACTCTACTCAATGGCTTGACTCCTTTTGAAAAATTATACGGTCACGCTCCGTCGTATACCCATTTGAGAGTCATTGGCTGTCTTGCTTATGCTCACAACATAACTCATGGTGGTGATAAATTTGCTCCGCGAAGTCGAAGATGCGTTTTTTTGGGATATCCCTATGGCAAGAAAGGTTGGAAATTATATGATTTGGACCGACAAGTGGTGTTTGTCTCCCGTGATGTTGTGTTCCGAGAAGATACATTTCCATTTAAACAAGGGTCTACTCCGACAACCGTAGTGCCTCCGCTTACACCTCCGGTGGCTGCCTCCATTCTTCATGATGATGACACTGTTATTTTGGACAATGTTGATCCTTCTCCGACTTCTCCTAACATCACGACACCCTTGGTTTCCTCTACGACACCCGTTGTGGTTACTCCTACGACTTCCGCTACGGAAACTACTACCGAGACTGAAGTGCTTGGTCAGGGAAAGCGTCCAAAGATACCAAATGTGCGACTCCGCGATTATATTGTTGGTACTGTCACTACATCCCCTCTCTCTCCCTCTTCATCTACGCCTCCACCGCCCTCAGGTTCGCTCTATCCTATATCTGCTTATGATTCTTGTGAGAATTTTTCCTCTAAACATCGCAGTTTCTTGGTGACTCTCAATACTACCGTCGAACCACGATCGTTTAGTGAGGCTATGCAATATGAGGTTTGGAAATCAGCCATGGGCTCGGAAATGGATGCATTACAACGAAATCATACTTGGGATCTCGAAGAATTACCGCCAAATAAGAAAGCACTTGGCAGCAAATGGGTTTTTACAATCAAACTACGCTCGGATGGTACGATTGAGAGACATAAAGCTCGTCTTGTTGTTCTTGGCAATCACCAAACTGAAGGCATTGACTATACTGAGACATTTTCACCTGTTGCCAAGATGACTACTGTTCGTATGTTTCTTGATTTTGCAGTAAAGAAAAATCATGAGGTCCATCAAATGGACGTTCATAACGCTTTTCTACACGGTGACCTTCATGAAGAGGTTTACATGAAAATTCCGCAAGGTTTTTCTTCTGCTGGTGACAACCGTGTGTGTCGTCTTCGTAAATCATTATATGGTCTAAAACAGGCTCCTCGATGTTGGTTCGCAAAACTAGTCGATTCTCTCCTCAAGTATGGTTTCTCACAGACTAAGTCGGATTATTCCTTGTTTATCTACTCGAAAAATGGTGTTTCTTTGCGCATCTTGGTCTATGTCGATGATTTGATAATTTCAGGAAATTGTCCTAAGGAAATCAAGACTTTCAAGGATTATTTATCTTTGTGTTTTCACATGAAGGATTTGGGATTTTTAAAATATTTTTTGGGTTTGGAGGTAGCACGGAGTTCTGCGGGAATATATTTATCTCAACGCAAATATGCTACAGAAATTGTCACCGAAGCCGGTCTCTTGGGTTGCAAACCAGCTGGCTCTCCTATTGATCAAAACCATCGTCTCTCTAGTATGAATGGTCCGGAGTTAGCAGATCCTCAAACATATCGTCGCATTGTTGGACGTTTAATATATCTTGTTGCTACACGACCCGATCTTACCTACGCGGTCCATGTTCTCTCTCAGTTTATGCAAGCACCGCGAGAAGAGCACTGGCTTGCGGCATTGAAAGTGGTCCGTTATCTCAAAGGCACCCTTGGACAAGGTGTTCTTCTTCGGGCTGACTCTCCTCTCCACTTGACAGGCTGGTGCGATTCGGACTTCTCGGGTTGCAAGTTATCTCGCCGTTCTCTCACCGGTTGGTTCGTCCAGCTAGGTGATTCACCTATATCATGGAAAGCAAAGCAACAAGATGTCGTATCTCTTTCTTCTGCGGAGGCGGAGTACAGGGCTATGAATGCTGTTACACGGGAATTAAAGTGGTTGAAAGAACTTCTTCAAGATCTTGGCTTCGACCATACTGCTCCGATGACAATTAAGTGTGATAGTAAACCCGCCATTCACATCAGCTCAAATCCGGTGTTCCACGAGCGTACAAAACACATTGAACGTGATTGTCACTTTGTTCGTGATGAGATCGTCAAAGGTGTTGTCAAACCATTTCATGTTTCCTCGGAAGAACAACTTGCGGACATTCTAACCAAAGCTTTAGGACGTAAGGAGTTTGACGCATTTCTTGTCAAGTTGGGCATTCGAAACTTGCATGCTCCAACTTGAGGGAGGCTATTGAGGATATATTGAGGATATTACCATATCCCGATTATATAGATTTACCTTTTTCCTATTGGTTATTGTATTAGGGTTTTACTCTCTTCCGCTTGTATATATACTCGACCTAAAGGTCCTAATAACACAAGTCAATTACATTCATCTTCTCTGTTCTCTAATTTGACAGAATATCGAAATATGGGAACTTCCTACAAGATTAGATAGACCTACCAAAAAGCTGGCACCACTAAGTTCTAGAGCTTCAAGCTCTCGATCTGGTTCGAACATTTGTTTAAAACCCAACTATACTCTTTCACATTTTCCATCTAGAATAACATTTAAAATATGTTTCTATAACTATTAATATATTTTTATGGAAATAGATAAATAATTTATAATTACTCTATGGTGACAAATATTGTTCTCTTTCTCATTACATCTCTTCCATTAGGAAAAAAATATTGTTAATAATGTACATGTTTTTTTTTGGGAGCAAATTTGGATTTCACTCAAAATAGTTAAACATACAATCCCATGTTTCAATAAAGAAAAAAATAACACCTAACCCTATGAATAATCTTATCTTTTTATAAAAAAAAATAAACGTGTCTTGTTTTTATAATTCTAATTAGTTAACAAATCATGCATATATGAAATTTTTTGAACCCAAAAATAGAGAGAGGTCAAATGTTAAATGACCAAAAAAAATCAAAATGATATAATAATTCAGAGGACGTGTTAGGGAACAAGCCAGAAGAAGCTACACTATCGAAAAGATCGCATCATTCTCAGCCGTTGGATCTTCCCTTCATCTCTATCTCTCTCTTTCTCTGCCATCTGACCTGTTTGAGAGTTTGCAGATATTCAAACAACTCTCAATCCCATTCCTTTGTTCGTCTCTCGGATTTCGAAGAGCTCAAATTAGGGTTTTTGGAATTTGGATTCTTCTCCTTGGGGTAAATAAGTCTAATCCCCACCACCGGTAACGTGGAGGAGAATGAGGGATTCGGGTCTGATGATGCCGGCGGAGATTGCTGGATTTTTAACGACGGCGATTACGAGTTGGTGGGATGATGTTAATGAGTCAACTCAGTGGCAAGATGGGATCTTTTTCGCTCTTTGTGGTGCTTATGCTCTTGTTTCCGCCGTTGCTCTTGTATGTTTTCTAATTTCTTCGTTATACATGAAATTTTTTGTTTGGGAGTGAAATTAGTTTATAAAAAATGCTTGCTTTTAGGTTTATAGATCAATTTCTTTCGTGTTTGACCTATATTTCCTCTTCTGTTTAACAAAAGTGGTGACTTTTGTTGTTGAAACATCGTTTTCTATCTAAATCATGGAGCTTGAAATACTTACTCATTGTATAGTTTGATTGATTGTCTGTAGTTTATTTCTGGGTTTAGTTAGTTGTGTTGCAATTTCTGACCTTTTTTTGTTTAAAATGGGATTATGATTGGTAGGTTCAACTGATAAGGATCCAAATGAGAGTGCCTGAGTATGGTTGGACCACTCAGAAGGTGTTTCATCTTATGAACTTTGTCGTCAATGGAGGTGATTAATCTGTGTTTCTATTTGGCTAATTTGTAGGATTTTGTTGGAATATGTTTTGTTGACTTTTTCTGTTGTGTGTGTGCAGTTCGTGCGGTTCTATTTGGATTTCACATGCAAGTTTTTCTTGTGCATCCCAAGGTGAGAGTGTTCTCAACTTAATTCTGGTTTTGTATGTTTGATTTGGAAACGATGGGTTTTGAAAGCTGCATCTTTTAAGTATCTAATGTTGCTGTGAGGTAATGTAGGCTCTTTGCTGGGTACTATTGGATCTTCCAGGCCTTCTCTTTTTCTCGGCATACACGCTCCTTGTGCTGTTCTGGGCAGAGATATATCACCAGGTACCTAAAAAGAAAATTATTATGTGTGTGGACTCTATTTTAAACCTGCCACCAAGCTCTGAGTGTATATTTTATTGCCAATAATGAGCAGGCAAGAAGCTTGCCAACGGATAAGCTGCGGATAACCTATATTTCCGTCAACGTGGCTGTATATTTGGCTCAGGTTCATGTCTGATTCTTATTGTTTTTTTCTTTTTCGTTTTAAGTTGTAGTTGCTGAGTTTCCTGAGATCCATTTATATTCATCTTTTGCAATTATTGTGTTTAGAAACTGTGGATGTGCGTGTTTCCTACCTTGTCCAACTCTGTAGCCATTTTTTGCTACTAAGAATCTGTGTGACCTTAGTCACCTTTGTAGACATTTCCGTGAACCAAAAGACTTAAGAATAAGTTTGACATGTAATTAATGTCTCTATCAGATTGGTATCTGGGCATACATCTGGGTAAATGATAACAGCACTGTGGAGTTAGTTGGAAAGATATTTATCGCAGGTAGGTTCTTTGTCTGGTCAAGCAAGTTTGCTAAAACTGCTACTGCTCAATCTATAATACTGTTACTCCTCTCTTATCTAAACTCTATATTGACCTTTTTCTTTTGGTAACTTCTCTTCTAGTTGTATCTTTCATCGCCGCATTAGGCTTCTTGCTGTACGGAGGAAGGTATGTGTTTTAGTTATTTCCATATGTCTCATCATCAAAGTGTCTGCAAGTTCTTCAATGGCTTAACTGGCCCGTCTTTTCTCATGTGTACTTTTTTGTATTCTATAGGTTGTTTTTCATGCTAAGAAGGTTCCCTATCGAGTCAAAAGGAAGAAGGAAGAAACTCCACGAGGTATTTAGATTTATATATCTGTATGTGTATAATTTGTCTTATTTAGTTCCATAAAACTTTGAACACATACATTTTTGCCTTCAAATTCATTTCTTTTCATTGCAGGTTGGATCTGTGACAGCGATATGCTTCACCTGCTTCCTCATAAGATGCGTTGTGGTAAGCTTGAGATAAAACCTAACTAATGAAATCTTTAGCTTCTGTCATTTATTTAGTTATGTTGTGATGAGTTATTTAATGTTTCCCATGCAAACATCAGGTGGCTGTATCAGCTTTTGACAAGGATTTAACGCTTGATGTTCTTGATCATCCGGTTCTGAACTTAATCTACTATATGGTAAGTAACTACACACATTCATTAATTCTCTATCTCTTGAATCTCTGTTTCAATTCTCATTCATTAACTGGAAAAAAACCACCAAACTACAGGTGGTTGAAGTACTTCCATCGGCACTAGTCCTCTTCATTCTCCGAAAGCTACCTCCAAAGAGAGTATCAGCTCAATACCATCCGATCCAGTAGAACCGTTGTCTGAACCACAGTGAGTCTGATGATGTTTAAGAGAAGAGTAAAAGAAAAAATTGTGGCATTAAATCAGAGGGGAAGAAGAAGAAATGGGTGTGGAATCTGCGTGAGTTTTTGGAATGCACGATCATACAATGTGATTTTACAGCTTTAGTTGTAGCCCGCCGTGACTTTTGGTTTGGTAGTTTATTATTATTATTCTGTTATCTGTTTAAATAAAATTATATAAATGCTCTTCTTCTACTTTGAAAAAATCTGGTCAGTAGTACAAGAGGTTTAACATTTGTTGAGCAGATGTTTGATTGTTATGTTATGTTGCAAAAAAAAAACAAATGTTTACATTTCTGTATTATATCCACTTCTCCATTTTCCATTTTCCAATTTTTTTTGGGTTTTGTCAACTATCACGTCTTCTTCTCCTAATGATTTATATACTTAGTTTTTCCAAAAAAAAACTAATTCAAAAGATGGTTACACAACATTAAATTGAGAATCATTTTGATAGTTTTTAATGGTAACTTACCAATCTCTAACTTAAAAAAAAAAAAAAAAAATTGGTATTACATGGGCTGGCAAATAAATTATTGAGCCTTGGACCTGATTTTTTCAAAAGGGCCCAAAATGACCGCTACCATTAATATTTATATTTGATTTTGCAGTGAGAAGACCACAAATCAGCCCTAACTCTGTTTTCCTTGACGACTACTGAGGTCTTTTCTCTCTCGTTCTCGTCTTCGTCTTCGTCTTCGTCTTGATTCTCTTCTCTTTTCTGGAGTTTATCTTTTCTGGAGTTTCGCTGCTTGTTAACCTGTAAAAATGACGGAAATTTTGTATATATTTTTAGGCTACGATGATACGCGTGTGTTGAATAATCCATTTGGTTATCGAATCAATTCTAGTTCAATCAATAAAAAAAAGTTTCAGTTTCTGCTCTTTGCGTTTTCTGGAGTATGTTGAGCTTGAAACTAGTGACATAGATGAAACTTGATACTTAAAAAACTTGAAATTGTGGCATTTTCGGGGGTAGTATTAAGTTTGTGAAAATTGGCTTCGTCTTTGTCATTCTGCTTCTTTATTCTTTCTCTTTGCTGTGATATAGAAAGATTTTGTATAGAACAATTTTGAGGATGAAGTAAATTGAATATTTGGGATTATTGGTGATATTTGGCAGTTAAAAAGATCATACAAGAAAAAGCAATTTTGCCACTGATGGATCCTATGGAGTCGTCTAGTGAACAGGTGATGAGTTCATCTCTATCACTTCCATGGCTTTTATTCTTCGTTATTGTTTATTAGCAAAAGAACAAATTGATAAAACTGTGAAATGAATTTGTTCTTGTTGTTGTTACTTGTAAAGGACATTGTTGAAGAGAGTCAAAAGCTGGTGGACTCATTGGACAAGCTTCGTGTTAGTGCTGCGAGTTCATCTTCTAATTTCAAGAAGAAGCCTATCATTATTATTGTTGTTGGAATGGCAGGTAATATCATTTTCACTTATGTTCTTGAAAATTCACTATGTCAACGAGTTTCATTAGTTTGATGTGAGATATTTGTTTGTAATGCGTGTAGGTAGCGGAAAAACTAGCTTCCTTCATCGCTTGGTCTGTCATACTTTTGATTCAAAGAGCCGTGGGTATGTGGTGAATCTTGACCCTGCTGTTATGTCTCTACCATTTGGTGCCAACATTGATATAAGAGACACTGTTAAGTACAAGGAAGTTATGAAGCAGTATAATCTGGGGCCTAATGGTGGGATTCTCACGTCACTCAACTTGTTTGCTACTAAATTCGACGAGGTAAACATGCCTATGGAATTGGTCCTGATGATGCCTTCTTTTCACATTGTGTTGGTTTTCTCGGTTTTTCTATTGTTTTGATTGATCTGTCTTTGTTTGCTACTTGTTTTAGGTTGTCTCTGTGATTGAGAAACGTGCAGATCAGCTTGATTATGTCCTCGTGGATACCCCTGGTCAGATTGAGATCTTTACATGGTCTGCTTCTGGGGCTATAATCACTGAAGCTTTCGCTTCAACCTTCCCCACTGTTGTCACCTACGTGGTTGATACTCCACGTTCCTCGAGCCCAATCACTTTTATGAGCAACATGCTCTACGCTTGTAGTATTCTCTACAAGACTCGCTTGCCTCTTGTCTTGGCTTTCAACAAAACCGATGTGGCAGATCACAAGTTTGCTTTAGAGGTTAACTTTCTTTAATTGTCTACTTTATTTTTGTTTGTAATATTCTCTTTAATCCTTTGGTACTGATTGGGGTTTATGCAGTGGATGGAAGATTTCGAGGTCTTTCAAGCAGCGATACAGACTGATAACTCGTACACGGCGACCTTAGCTAACAGTCTTTCCCTTTCACTCTACGAGTTCTACCGGAATATAAGATCTGTTGGTGTTTCTGCAATCTCTGGTGCTGGAATGGATGGCTTCTTCAAAGCCATTGAAGCAAGTGCTGAGGAATACATGGAAACTTACAAGTAATGATGCATTCTTCTCATTCAATTCGCCATCTTTTATCTGCAAGTTCTATGCTTATGATTTGTGTTTTACTATCAGGGCTGATCTTGATATGAGAAAGGCAGGACAAGGAGCGGTTGGAAGAAGAACGCAAGAAACATGAAATGGAGAAACTAAGAAAGGATATGGAGAGTTCTCAGGGAGGCACTGTGGTTTTAAACACTGGTTTGAAAGACAGAGACTGCAACAGAGAAGATGATGCTAGAGGAGGATGACGAGGACTTTCAGGTTGAAGATGAAGAAGACAGTGATGATGCCATAGATGAGGATGATGAAGATGACGAGATGAAACATTACTACCTATGAATTAAACTCGAGACCAAATCGTTCAGACTTATCAAGACGCTTTCACTTGCTTTTTTTGCGTCATTCCCTTGTTGTCCCAGTTGTGTAGTTAAAACTTAAAACATAAGAATTGAATCTCGTTGTGAGACATTGTCAAATGATCTAATGACTGAACTATAAACTAGAACTTTGAAGACTTTGTACACAATTTGAGTTCATATGCACAAGGAGTCAACTTGTATCGGACAAGAAAATCAACCAGAAAACTAGGGAAAAATCAGACCCAACACCATCTCACTTCCACATTATCCACAACTATAAAGGTCAAGAGTCGATGGATGCCCTTTTAACATTATCTGAATACACTTCAACTGTGAGTGTGGCTGGTGTTTTGTGGAGGATCAAGATTCAGTCTTGGTGGATTTCATCAAAAGGCGCATGAGCAAACCTCACATCTTCTGGCCGTGCAATAACGACTGGCTCATCAGCAAATAGGGCTTTGAGGAAAGATGGAGTCTTCAAGGGACGTCGATCCGTCATTCGTGGATACACAAAAGCTAAGAAGTAGTATGCATGACCCGCTATCATTCCCTAGAATGTTGGATAAAGCAGAATGGATAAGAATAAGGATGAACAGAGAGACATGGAAGAAGAAATGGGTGAAACTGAATTGGGAGAGATTGTGTACCAGAAAATCTCCCCAATGCACTTGCACCAACAAGGATTGAGAATCCAAGAAGTACCTGTAATTTCAGAATTTGGTAAAAGAGGCGATTTAAATTATCGATCTAGTTAGGGAACTACTAGAAGAGAATACGAAATTTCAACTCACCCATGGTAAATACGCTGCTGTGAAAGTGAAAAGGCCAAGGAAACTCATGTGGATGTAAGGATTTTGTTTACTCCATACATAGACCTACAGAACATAGGAAAGGTGTTATAGATGGTCTTGAGATGACTTCAAAATCATTTGAGAATTGGTATGAATTGCGGTATTGAGACTTGAGAGATAGAATTCACCATCATGAAAGTCAATGAATTGCTGAGGAAGATGATTTTGGAGAATGACACTGACAAATAAGGTATCATTCCGCCGATGAGAACAATACCAGTTAGAACAGTTGCCCCGAATAAGAGCATGTAAAGGAAATCCGCAGTCTTTCCCCTGAAGGAGTTTTCTTCGAGCAGTTTGCAGTATCGAGCTAGAAAAAACATATGGAACAAAAAGTCCAAATCTGCAAAAGATTGATAACAAGAACATGTCAGCTTATAATTGACAATTACAAAGAAAATGAATCCATACAGGGAGCATAACACAAAAAATGAATCTTCAAAGACTTAAAAGCCTATCAACAAGTTGTAGCTAGAGCTTATCAGTAGCTAGAAACATAACTGTGTCAAAATAGAAACATGCTCTTCAGTTTCTTAACATATGATGACACTTCTAACAAGTAAAATTCCAGACAAAATTATGAATTACTCCGCAGTTATGTGAGTTTCTTAGCAATCATGATCAATCCTAGTAATCTAAGGAAGACTATTTCATATGAAAAACAGCACAACAAGAGTCCAAGATGAGAAAAAACTTCTCAGAATACTAATAGTAGAACCAACAGAAGAGTTGAAGATAACTTACCCATCTTGCGGAAATAAAGGAAATTTGTAACAAGACGCCAGAACTGGTATTGCTTCACCACAAGGGTAGGATTTAGGTAGAGATTATAGGGAGATATAATCTGCAAAAATTAAATGTTTCACAAAATGTTACATCATAAGCCATAACACAAAGATTCAATTTTTCAACAATCAGAGGAAAACCTAATCAGATCAATCAAAGCAAAGTTAAATGCTTTAATAAGCCAGAAAATTTCAAACCTCGAGCGAACATCCGACGGTGGTGACTACAGCCGCCGTGAGATACGACCGGGTAATAATCGGCATCTGTTTGTACCATTCTTCTACGGCTTGAGCCATAATTCCTTCTCTAACCTCACAATCACAATCGATTTAGTTTCAACCACCGAGCAAGTGATGCAGAAGCTTTACCAAAAACCAAAACAAAAACAAAAACACCCAAATCGAATCTGTAGAACAGTAGAAGCTTCTACGTTGAAATGAATTTGGGATTTAAATCAGTATCTTCTACGTTAAAGCTTTGAATTAACGAAAGCGACTGGTAAAGGTTCGCTCTTTTTTTTTCTTTCCGCATGTTTATCTGTTGTGACAGTAGTTCAACGAATAAGAAAGCGCGTGGTTCACACGAACCAATCATAATAAGCTTCTGACGCCAGCGTTTCTATAAAGGAAAAAAACAATCTTCAAACGCCTCGGCGTTTTTAGCTTTTTACAACGGCATGACGTTCATATCGAATAAAGAAAAACGGCGAGATTTCCAACCTTTTTCTCTGGAACCGTTAGAATAAAAACCTTTTAGTGTTTACTGTTTATTTGTCTTTCGAATTTTGAATTTGAACAAACGACTGTTTCTCTCTCTAACGCATCTCCGATTCTTCTTCACCGATGGCTGAAAATGAACCGCCGTGCGCTTCACCGGCGCCGCCTCGTAATCCGCTGACGTCATCGTTACTCACTGACATATCCAATTTCAAAACGCCGCGGCGTTCTTCAGTTGTGAATTCGAATTTCAGTAAATCTCCGTATCCGCATTTCTTCACTGCATCAAAGCAAACCCCGAAATCTTCGTCTTCTAACTTCCGTCGTCCTTCCATGGTTCCTTCTTATACGTCTCGGTCTAAGGTCTCAACTTCTTCGAGGCGGCTTAAAGCATTTGAACTTCAGCAATCTCAATCTTCACGCAAGGCTGAGTTGACGAAAGAGAAGAGTCTTAGATCTCTTGCTAAATCACTTACTGTGTGGCTCAATTTCTTGTTTGAAAACCCGGAAAACTGCGGTTGCGATCCGTTCGAGAACGACTCTAGTGTTGGGAATTTAGGTAAGGGGAAGAGAGATAGTGGTGAGGCTTTAGGAAATAGTAAATCTGTGGGAGTTGATACAATGTGGAGAAGCCCCAAAAGGTTGAGAAATTTAGGTTGGTGTGGTGAGAAAGGTTCAGAGATTGGCTCTTCCTTGACTGGTTCTAAGTATTCTACGTTGAGGGAATCTTTAAGAGATGTGTGTAGTTTAGATGATTTGAAGCAAAGAATGCAGTTTCACTTGAGTTTGGGAAGTTGCAAGGAGATTTTTGATGTCATGACCCGTGTTACCAAGGTAAACATATCTCCATGTGTATCAAGAGAGTGTCTTTTATACTGTTTGTTGGCTAATTTTAAGTTTTTCTTTCAATCTTATTGTTCGTGTATCAGAATATAGATGAAGGGAGGATAAAAATGAAATTACAATGCCCTCTTGTAACTGATTTTGGAATGAAGGAGAAGGCCATCAAGGCATTGATGTGCTATAACCAAGTTTGGCTTCGTTTAGGGTTATATATCATCTTTGGCGGTGATTCCTTTGTGTCTGACAGTGAAGTTAACTCAGGTCAAGAAATGGCATTCTTGAAGATGGTAATTAATAAGCAGTTCTTCTCTCATGATGGTCTTGCTAGAGCTTATGCTTATAACAAGATGGTTGAGGGATTGTACAGACCAGGGTACTATGAAGCTCTTGGAAATGTGATTTTAAAGAGGATTCTGTTGCTCGTTCTTGTAATTGATAGAGCTAAATCTCAAAGCTGCCTTTCACTCAAGTATGGGATTGATGGGATAGATGGTGGCTCACCCGTCATGTTCTCAGAGAAATCTAGTATAAAGTCTAGCCACCAACTTATATGTGGTACTTTCTTAGATTTTGTTGTTTAGTTTGTCAGTTTTCTTGCTATTTTCATGTTTACTGCGGCTAATTTTCCATTTTCTGCTTTGAACATAGAATTATTGTCCTCTGATGTAATGCATGGAGAAGGGAATCTTCTAGCGCATCTAGTGATTATAGGGTACAAAATACCTTATCAGCAGGTAACTTTTAGTTAAGAGTCAATGCAATGTCTTATAGGAGATCTCGATTGCTAAGTACTGTATATGATGTTTCGCTAAGTTCAATAACTGGAATGGATCTTGCAGTCTCCTATAGTTGAATACGACTTTAAAGTGAGAGAGTTATTTGGTGACCTCCAAGATGGCGTGCGGCTCTGCAGAGCTATTCAACTACTTCTTCATGATCCGTCTATTCTCACGGTCTGGCTTGATATTGATTTTTAATCAAGAACTTCCAGTTTGTCTTATTTAGGGAGTTAGTTTGATTTGATGAGGCTTTTTATCAAACAGAAAATGGTAGTTCCATCCGACAATCGAAAGAAGAACTTGGTCAATTGTAGAATTGCACTTCAATATCTGAAGGATGCTGGAGTTTCGTTAAAAGATGACGAGGGAATGATGATAACTGGGGAAGATGTTGCAGATGGTGACAGAGAGCTCACTATTTCACTGCTATGGAACATTTTTGTACATTTGCAGGTGAGTGTCTCTTGTATTTATATGTCCATTTTTTGGTGGATTGCTGCACGTGTCGTCTGATTTTCATTGGTTATATGTATACTCTTTGAACTGGGCAGCTGCCTCTTCTGATCAATGGGAGACTCTTGACGGAGGAAATCTACAAAGTCCAGGGGCTGGAACAGGTAAGGCTAAGGCTCACTTAATTTCCTTGGTTCTGATAGTTTATTCCAACTTTTAGCCATTGTTAGTTATTTGAATCTATATGTAGCTTTTACTAGAACACTCTCAATCAGATCTTTAATGGTGACACTTCTCTAGTAACACTATTTTCTCTCTCATCAATTCTTTTTTTTTGGGTTTCTTTACAGAATAATCAAATTACCATGTCTACTCCTCTGGAAATGCTCTTGAACTGGATCCAGGTAGCTTCTTATATCAGCGTATTCTTATAACTTTCCTTACTATGAGTTGTGGGTGCTTTCTTTGCCTATGTAATATATATCTAACCATGTACAATACTTGCATGTCTTGCAATCTTCACTCAGTCAATTACCAGGAAGAATGACTTCAAGTTAGAAAGCTTTGCATCATTGGTGGATGGAAAGGGGATATGGTTCTTGCTTGACTACTATTTTCGTCAAGAAGTTTGCTGTCCATGTCTACACAAAGAGGTATGAGGTGTTCTTAACTCGAAATCAGGTTAAATGCATTGAAGTTTACCTAGGACATTTTTCTTTACGCATCTTATAATACAGGCCGTGCTATATTTTCTGAATAAATGTTTATATCCAGGATCCTGGTGGTCAACAAGGCCCTCAATCAGTAATGTCCAATACCGATTACCATGATGCAGTTCAAAATTTTATTCTGTCGCAAAAGCTGACAGCACTTTTGGGAAGTTTTCCTGAGGTAATAGTTTCAGCCTGAATTTCTACTTATTCTTCAGTTTAGAAAAAAAGATTACTAGTGATATGAAGATTGAATTACTGAGTTGCCCTTTGTTTCTTTCCAATAGATGATTTGCTTCAATTAGGCTAACATATTCTGTATGGTCACGTTAGTGCTATCAGTTTATTGACAAATCATGTTGATCTCTATAGGTTCTACAGATTGGTGACTTACTGGAACATAATGCAGTAGTTAGCAACCAAAGTGTGATTATACTGTTGGCTTTCCTATCATCAAAGCTGATCGTAAAGGAGAATTTGGTATTGCTTTCTTACCAAAAAAATATGGCTTTCCTTGATTAGTTTTCTGGATGGAAGTTAGATTTTACATTGGCAGGTTATCTTACAAATTCCGTCTTTTCTCAGGAGCAACTGAACTTTCATAAGTTGCTGTGCTCTAACTGTCAAGCTCAGGAGAAGAGATATTCACGCATCAGTTGCAGCAGCTCTGAAGCAGTTACAAATGAGGAACCGGACAGAGAAAATGGAGAAGGTTTCCATTCATCTCTTTCTTACTTTCCCTAAAGTATATGATCTTAGAAGTTAGAAATGAGGAACTGGACCTGTTTATTTAGATACTTGCAAGCCTATCAGTGATTTTCATTCTTTTTATTTCCTTTTATTATTTTTTTTTCATTTCTCATAGTTGTCAGTTGTCACTCTAGTTTCTTATAGAGTTTTCAGCTTCTTACAATTGGTTGAATGAGGCAAGCATGCTTGATGATAATATACATCTATCACTGGTATTGAGTGTCAAACGTGTGATGCTACTTGTAGATACTACTAAAAGTTTCCAGGCAATCAAAGCCTGGTGGCAGGACATGGCCAACCAAAACCAAAATTCTGTTGGAAAAGCTAGTAGCCATACTCTGCAAAGCTCCTTGTCTAGCAAATGCACTACAGATTCCCAACGAGGTAATTAAAGTTCTATTTCTAATCTTCTCAACTTTTACAGCATAAGCTTGCTTTCGATATCTATCACCTTGTTATGATCTAACTCTTATAGATGGTTCTTGATTGTATCATTGTATTTTGATTCCGTGATTATTTATCTACTTTCTGTTTCTTGGTAGATAGAGTATTGAATATCGGAATCTATCCATTATTTAATTTAAGCATACCTCTTGCTTACAGAAATTGCAGCTGTGGTCATACAATCGAATATTAAGGGACTTCATGCACGACGCAAGTTTAGAAAGAAGATGAGAGCAATCTGCTTCTTACAAGCTGCTGTTCGGACATGGTTGTCAGTGAAAAATATACAAGTTCTTGAGAAATTCAATGTTGAGGAAGTTACGTTACATTTATCAGGTAATTATTTGTTTGTGCATATTCACTGGCATTTACAGATCAACAAGTTGCTCTCTGGTGAAAGTTTTGTTATTCCTGCAGAAAGATCGGCCAACTTAAAACCTGTAGCTAGATATGTCAAGTTCATTGTTGAACGAAGTCGTTTCATCAAGTTGAGGAAATCTGTTTCCGTCATTCAGAAAGCTGTAAGGAGACATCAGAGCAACCTTCATCAT